ATGTAAGATCATGGGTCATTGATACACTCTCAGATTTCATGAGTCAGGTCTGCGTATATTTCATGGCTAGTCTGTGCAGAGGAGGGGAGATGTGGTGGGATGGTACATTCGGTATGAGTTGACTGAAACGAGGGTTCGTGTCTACTGGGTCAGTAGGCATATAGATTGGTGAAAATGCGGATTTATAAAAAATATCCTGTCCCGTATAAAGGGAATTAGGGGTGTTGTAGAACACATTTTAGCTGAGTGACTCCATACAATATCAATGGTTCATCTCATGGAGGTGAGCATTTGGCGAAATCGAGTCCTTTTTTCTGTTTGTAAGTAGCTTTTCGATGCTACAAGTGGATCATATACATGAGATGTTTTCATCCCATTGCATTTAAAGTGAAAAGAACTGGTATTTAAATGTTCCCATAATTGTATGAGTTGGCCACATATTTCCACTTAATTTTATATAGCCTTGCTTCCCAAAAGGTATTCCATCTCGCCTAAGTCTAATTATCACATCCAAAGGGACTAAAACACTGGTTTGGGTAGCGCAGCATATTATCTCGACACGACAACCAATACACAAAATACTTTCAGGAGTGCATTTGGCTCGTAAGGCAGGAGTAAATTTCAAGAAAAGCCAGACATTTCCCACGTCACTTTCTGTCGTGGCATTGTTGACGAAGCTACTTTGTATTTGCTATTACAATCGACTGCATTACTTATTTTCGTATTTAAATAGTCTATCCTAAATGAGAATACCTTTTGGGAGGTAAGTTAATGCTAAATTAAATGGAAAATTAAGGCTTACTCATATGATTGTGATAGGATGAAGACAGCTCTCATTCCAGATAAATTGATGGTATCAAGACCCTACTTAGAACACGAAAGCGAAAGCCATCTTCTTTACCTGATACCAGTTACCGAAGTGATGTCAAACCAAACCTAAATAACTCGAAAGTGATAAAGGATGCTTTGGAGGCCAGCTTTACTTCATACCTTTGAAGTGCTGATGTGGATGCGAAAACCTGTCAATGTCAATTGTCCATCTTCTTTTTCTGTCCAACTCCCTTCAGGTGACCTGGCTGAATGGCAGTTCCCGGGTTTCCAACCGATGCCAGAAAATCGGAACTTGGCACTCTTTCGTGCACGCCCAGTACCTCAACTGTTACACGTTCAACCTGTTGCCTGCCTACCAGTTGACGACACGCAGCCTCGAGTTGCTGCTCTACCTGAACGAGGATCTGAACAGCACCGACTGTCTGGACTGCTTCCAAAACGACGTTAAATCTCAACTCTCCGGCATCCTCGTCAGCATCCACAACACCGGCACATATCCGGACATCAACGAGGAGAGCATCAATCTACCGCCGGGCACTTTAACCGAGATCAAACTGAAAACGGTACAGAATCGGCACAAATCACCGCCTCACGGTCGCTGCTCCGAAGAGACCCCAGCCACCCTGCGCCTCTCCGATCGTGACTACCGCTACTCCGAGTTCGCCTGTCGCGTTCTCACCATCCAAGAGCACATCAACCGTGACTGTGCATGTCGCGCCATCGAATACCCCTTCCTCGACGACCGACTGCCCTTCTGTACTGCTCTGCCCACCTTTCTCAACACTTCCGACTGCCTCGGACCACCTCCATCCGCCATCATCGACACCAACGTCGACGCCAACTCGAACGTCGACTTCAACTCGAATGTCAACTCCAACTCGAACGTCAACTCCAACTCGAACATCAACTCCAACTCGAACGTCGACTCCAACTCGAACATCTACTCCAACTCGAACGTCAACTCCAACTCGAACGTCAACTCTAACTCGAACGTCAACTCCAACTCGAACGTCAACTCCAATGTCAACGCCAACTTCGACGTCGGCGTCGACGAGGCTTGTCTGTCGGACTTTTTCACCGTTCTTAGTCGCCTCACCTGCAAGACGAATGTGACGCGTCAGTATGAATCGGACGTGGTGACCAGTTGCAGTCTGCCGTGTGCTTTCTACTCGTACGAAACGGATCGCAGCACATCGACATGGCCCGCCAAGTCTTGGCAACTGACTTGGGTCGCCTCGGCTCGAATGATGCAGGTGCGAGCGAAGCCAGAGCTGCAGGCCTACCTGCAGGCCAGAGAGTTGCGAGATCGAGGCCTCGCCGACGAGGCTTGGCACCGACTGCAGACGATCAACGTGCTCGAGCGAAGTCTGCTGGCTGTGCTGGTCAATCGGCCCAACCAACATTTGCACATTGTTGAAGAGAAAGAGGTCCTCTCGCTAACCAGCTTTCTGAGTCAATCGGGCGGTCTTTTCTCCATTTGGATCGGCTTAACGATGATCTCCGTAGTCGAGGTGATCGAGTTCATCCTCAACTCATTCGGCATTTTGCAGGATGCGTCCGAGATCGGCACCGATCAGTCGACCAGTCAAGTGGTCCTGTCGCCTGACACCACGAACCAACATCAGCTCTTCGCTCTCGTTCAGACAAGCCCCTCCGACACAAGTCCCCTCCTCGACAAAAGCCTGTCTCACCCATCTTCTCGTCCGCATGATCGTCAAATTCGAGTCCCGTCGTCCGCGTCTTGGCCCTACAACCTTCGCCCACCGACCTCTCTCGAATCTGGAATTGATCGACCAGTAGGCCATGGCAACCGGTTGAATGACCTGCCGAGCTGTCGTGACAAAGCGGTACAGGCATCTGAGGCCAGCCCAGAGTCTGGCGTCAGGCTGCATCTCACTTTGACCGACGAACCGGAGCCCCGGGCTCGTCTGCCAGTACAAGGTCTTCTCCGAACAAAGGCCTCCGGTCACTTCACTCCTGTGCAAGTCCAGCTCTCGACAACTGACTGCCTTATTCCCATTCGGCCATGGCAACCACATGAAGATGATTACCTGCTGTAATCTGGTACCGTTTGGTGAGAGGGCGTTCGACAGGTACATGGGTTTGACGGCCTACGGAGTGTTTAGACTGCTTTGATTAATGTCAATTTGTGGAAGGTCTACTTGACTATGCCAATGGCAACCATGGAAACAAGTGACTATTTGTACACTTTAATGCATCCATGCGAATAAGCCAAATCAGGCTGTCTCAAGAGTTGAAGCTCTCCAAGTCCGGCCGACTGCAAAATGATTTGTTCATGTTATTAACATACACAAAAGCAGGTTTTCTCTGACTCTCAAATTAAGTTCATGTCACTCGGCTTTCCAGCCAAAAGTAAACATCGACCGGTAGGGCTTCCTGAATTAGTGTCATGCTAAACCAAAGAAAGAATGTCTTGTAGTTTTAGACTTTTGAGTTCTCTTCGCAATTTTGTACTTCTCAGATGTATTTTTAACCGACAATCGAAAGGGGAAAAGCACTTTTTGTGAGAAATTCCCCAACTGCTGAGAGGAAAACACGCGAGCAAGCAATGCCAGGGCAGTAGGAGAAATGCTCAGTATCAAGTCCATCTATTTCATTTCTCTGCCTACCTGTTTGGGAAGATATGAAGTAGCCAATCGGATCATTGGATATAGGAGGATGCGTCGACCACAACGCCAATATGATCTTTCTAAGGTTTTTCTGTGGAGCTAGGCCTCCAATCCCTCCCAACCATCGTTTTAGTGAAAACAAAATATTGAGTTATATGATATTGCAACCTCGTGATGATTTGTATTTTTATACTGTAATTTTATTTTAATCACACAAAAAAGTCAAAACCGCTTATGCTATATTTATTATCTCTTATGGCTGTCTCGTCTGTCGAAGGAGAAAACGTTTGTGGCAATTGTGTTTTCTACAAAAATTGTACTCTGCCGCGATTGAATAAGTATTGAATAAAGGTAATTTAGCCGAATTTAATGACAACACAGTTTGCCCGAGCAATATTC